GCTGTATCATCCATGTGCTCTCTGGCAAACTTCAGACGGGCCTGGACATGCACTGGCTTCAGCAGCGGAACACGTCTGGCACTGCGGGATTTGATTCCCTGCCGTTGTAGTGTGTTACTGATGGTGACCTTTGTTACTTTGGTCCCAGCTCTCTGCAAGTCATTCACCAGGTCCCCCCGTGTGGTTCTGGGATCTTTGCTCACCGTTCTCATGATCATTTTGACCCCACGGGATGAGATCTTGCGTGGAGCCCCAGATCGAGGGAGATTATCAGTGGTCTTGTATGTCTTCCATTTTCTGATGATTGCTCCCACAGTTGATTTTTTCACACCAAGCTGCTTGCCTATTGTAGATTCACTCTTCCCAGTCTGGTGCAGGTCTACAATACTTTTCCTGGTGTCCTTCGAAAGCTCTTTGGTCTTGGCCATGGCGGAGTTTGGAGTCTGACTGTTTGAGGCTGTGGACAGGTGTCTTTTATACAGATGATGAGTTCAAACAGGTGCCATTCATACAGGTAACGAGTGGGGGACAGAAAAGCTTCTTACAGAAGACGTTACAGGTCTGTGAGAGCCAGAGATTTTCCTTGTTTGAGGTGACCAAATACTTATTTTCCACCCTGATTTACAAATAAATTCTTTACAAATCCTACCATGTGGATTCATGGATTTTTTTTTTCACATTCTGTCTCTCACAGTTGAAGTGTACCTCTGGTGCAAATTACTGACCTCTGTCATCATTTTAAGTGGGGGAACTTGCACAATCGGTGGCTGACCAAATACTTTTTTGCCCCACTGTACGTCCTCATTTAATTACGTTTTGTCATTTAAAACAAAGCTTTGCTGCAAAATTTAAATTTCAAGGATGGACCATCAAACTCCAGGGGGTGAGAATAAATGTACCACTCGTTCCATACCTGAATCAACAACAAAGCGCACTCCATCTATTGTGACTGATGTCTCCGCAATATTGGTAGAGATGATGCACTTTCTCACCCCAGGAGGAGCAATATCAAACACCTGAAGAGTAACACAGTAACAGAGGCACAATTAGAATTAGAAAATCGTAACTCTAAATAACAGCTTCAAAGCTGACTGTACCTTATCCTGCTGAGCAATTGAGAGGGTGCTGTGCAGTGTTAAGATTATCCAGCGACGTGTGTGTGTGGCATAAATCTGACAGGCCTCCTGGATGGTGGAGATCTCTGCCACACCGCTAAGAAAGAGCAGCAGGTCACCACGCTCCTCTGGGGGGTAACGCTGATCGATGCCCTGCAGGATGCGCAGATACGGTCTAGGATCCAGTTTCTCAGACTTTGAGGACTGCTCCTCAGGAGGAATGGGCTGGTAAATAACCTAAGTACCATGCCAGAGGGGAAAAACAGGACATTAAACAAAAACAACTCTCAGACATGTCTGCTACTTTGATACAAAATTTTACCATTTAAATTTGTAAATAGAAACCAACACCTAGACTACCAAAATTTGCATTGTGCACTTAAAACAAATACAGCAAGTACAATAATTTTTTAAAAAGTGGCTTTCTTAAAACTTCAATCATTTGACTCGTTGTTTGCATTTTATCCTAAATTAAAAAAATATATATAAAGAATGAAAATGTTTTGGCCCAGTATCTTTTCAGTGCATGTTTTTTGCCTACTAGATGCAAGAGGCAAAGTTTTAAAAATCACATCATCTTGAGTAAAATGCATATTTACACCTGTGTTTAGGGTTTGCCTCTGGTTACCTGAATAGGAAACAGCCTGCCTGGGACCTGCAGTACAGGAGCACCGCTGAAATAGTTAGAGAACAGTTTGATGTTGATGGTGGCTGACATGAGGATGAGGCGTAGGTCTGGGCGGTCAGCCAGCAGAGAACGCAGGACCCCGAGAAGAAAGTCACAATGGAGGTGTCTCTCATGGACCTCGTCAACAATCACAACCTGGTACCGAGCCAGCGTACTGTCCTGCTGGATCTGTCGAAGCAGCAGCCCCTCTGTAAGGAACAGCAGCTTGGTTGCTGCGGTTCGACTTGTCTCAAAGCGGATCTGGTACCCCACCTGAAAAAGACCAATAACATTTGTGAGCTCCAAGAAACTGAAAAATATCATATATTTAATGCAGTTATAATGAAGTCAGTGTTTTAAGCAAATTTCTATAATATATTTCACTAAATTAAATATGGATTTTATTCTACTTGCTGTAGTTATCCTCATCTAGACGGAAAATAATACAGTTGGGTGAATAAGTATTTGATCCTCATCTGAATTAGTCAGTTTGCTCACTTATAAAGAAGCAAACAGCCTAACTTTTATGGTAGTTTCATTTTAATAGAGCAAGACAGAATATCAACCAATAATCAGGAACAAAAAACAGTCCATAAAAATTTTAAATTCATTTGCATGTTACCGAGTGAAATAACGATTTGATTCCCTACAAAGCCAGCAGAATTCTGGCTTCCACAGATTGGCTGTGTATCCACGTAACAAACAATTTACAATCAATAAATCAATTACAGATACTTCTGATTTTGAGTTATGTATATAAAGCATACCTCTCCACAGAATCAGTTTCTTTCATTTCAACCTCTATCAAAGGATATCAGGGAATCAGTTTGAGATGCCAAGCGGCAGCCAAGAAACTTAAAGAATTTAGAGATTTATGTAAAGACAAGAGGGCCAAAATCCCCCCTGAGATGTGTGCAAACCTGGCGACCAACTACAATGTCTTACCATCATGCGTGCCCATAGGGGTCAGGATACTAAGTCATGTTTTACTTGGGGATCAAATACTTATTTCACTCAGTGGCATGCAAATCAATTTATAACTTTTATCTAAAATGGTGGAGGGTTTTTTAGTCTGTTTTTAAGATTTTTGGTTAATATTATGTGTATCTCCATTAAAATAAAACTAGCGGTAGTATAAAATGAGAGAACATTCATTTCTTTGGACGTAGGCAAACTTACAAACCCAGCAAGGGATCAAATAACTATTTACTCCACCATATGTTAAAATTTTATTTATTCTGCTCAAATATTGATTATATTCTTTTTCTATTTCCTTTTTCCCTCCTTTTAGTTAACCGATGAGCAAAATTCTAGCTGATATTTTTATGGTCAACAGATGGACCCGAATTATAAAGTAAGTTTTTAGAGTTTCCCAAAGTTTCCATAAAGTCATTTTACTTTGTACTTTTAACTGTTTTGGATGAAAGGTTGGGATTGAATTCAACAAATGTAACAATCTGTCCTGACAAACCTTTGATCCATACTGATTGAGGCTCTCAAAGCTGACTCTCTTTGCGAGGGATATACAGGCAATGCGGCGAGGCTGGGTGCAGGCGATGTTATTGAAGCCAGCAGAGAGAAGGTACTGAGGGACTTGGGTTGATTTTCCACAGCCCGTGTCCCCTGCCACTACAACCACTGGGTGAAGTCGCACCAGCTCCACTATCCGATCCCGGTACTGGAAGATGGGCAGGTTCTTCTGCTCCCGGCGAAGTTTGGCAATTTTTCCAAAACTCTGTTTCTGGCTGAAATCCAGGAAATGCAGGAGCGCCAGGCGGCAGTCGGAGACCTGTTGAGCCCCTGGTCCGGAGGACCTCTGTCTGCTTCTATGCTCTGATTTCCCCATGCGCTCCTCGATGTCCCTGGTGCACACAGATACGTTAATCCGGTAGCGAGCATCGTACTCTTTGGGAAGGCCAAGATCCACCTTGCCCCTGTCCCTCCCTTTGTCTTTGTCCTCCTTTCTGATTTCCGCGCCTGACATGTCTCTCTTCGTTTTAAACCTCTGGAAGCGCTCAAAGAAAGCCCAGAACTCTTTATGTTCAGAGCTGCCAACCTGGATGTAGTCATGCTCCCGGAAAAAGATTTCGTCCAGCTGGGCTCGGCATTGCGAGCTGCCCCAGTCCCAACTCCTCTTCTCTGAAGCCATAGCGTTACTTACCTCCACCAGAATTAAGCAGGAGTCGGGTTAACCCCCCATATAATACATAACTTCCACATGTATTCGCCTTTCCAGGCTCGTAGCAGCCTTATGTTACATCTATACTAGATAAACTAGAGAGCGCATTTCAAACCCTAAAGGTTTACATTTGCCTGAATGACACGAATCTTTAATACTGCTTTAAAATGCTAAATACAGACAACTGTATATTAAAAAATAAAAGCCGGTGGGAAACCTGGAAACTCTAAATAGGGGACAATAATACGGGTGGACAACTTCCGTTCCATCCTTTAAAATCTTCCGATCTTCCGGTGAAAGCCAGCGCTTAAAAAGAAAATGGTGATTTGAAGAGATGTCACACCCTAAACCTGCTCCTCACATGATTAATTTGAATTTGCCTTTGTCCAAGGTAGAATGATCGTATAGTATATCTTTAATTACTAAAAAAAAAAAAAAAAAAGGGGGGACAAGAATTGGGTGGACAATTATTTGAGATTTCCGCAAATCCACAAAGGGTCAAATATATACTTACACCCCCACTATTAGTTGTAAACATGTTCCCTTGCAAGTTGCACCTCAACCAGATCATTTTGGTACCCATCAACAAACTTCTAGTATCATTCTGGCACCCTTATGCTACAAAATTTGGTGTTCTTATGTTTGAAAGCTTCACCTTTACTCCACCTCTTGTCAATGCGGCTTAATAATTCAGTCTTTGAATTAGGAGCTTCTTTCTTGGTTGGAACCCTCTCAGTCCATGGCAAAGTAAAACTCGCTCCACTGTGAACAGTGACACTGATGTTCTTTAAATTTCCAGTTCATGCCAGGCTTTAGTCTTGGTGGTTCCTGAACATCTTAAACATTTTTCTCTTTCCTGAGGGCGACAGTTGAGGTCCTCCTTCAGACCTTGGTAAACTGGTGATGTAACCAAACAACATGTACTTGCATACAGTTGTTTTAACCAATGATACTGAAAACTTTCATCCACTCTCATTTGAAGATTAGAATGGAATAGAGCTTTATTGTCATTGTACATGTACAATAAAAGTATGGGTGCTCCACACCAACTGTGCCAGAGGGAAAAAAAAAAAGAAAAGAAAAAAAATCGGGCATGTATGTTGAGGGTCAAGCTCGATGCAATACATAAGCGTCCTGAAACAAAGAGTAGGTGAATGACTGTGCAGGAGATAAGAAATATTTTTATTTAAAAATATCTGCAATAAAACACACATTTACAAATATTTGGAAACAATTTAACTTTGCAGCTAGTACTAATATTGTGGAGAATTGAAGCGTGGTGACATGTTACAGCAGAAGAGAAAATTTAAACTAAACCTGTGTTTGACTATAGCATGTGTTTAGAGAAGGGAAATAAGTTTTTTTTCCAGAGATTTCAGCTGAACTTGTGAACTGATCCATAGGAGGTAAGCTGCAATGAGCTTGCTGCCTCAGAGCTTTTAATTCAGAAGTCAGGGAGGAAAAATATAAAAAAACAAAAAACAAAAGAAACAAAAACAGTGTTGGGAATTTCTTAAGATATAGAGTTACATGTATGAAATAGGTAACAATCACACTGGAATCTACTGTGTAGGAAATAACATTATTCTCCATTAAAACATGATAAAAATACACAAAAATAAAACATTTATTTACATTCAAAAATATTTCATCAAGCCCCAAATCACAGTGCATTTAAATTGTGTTGTAACTGCTCTTAAAGCATGTTCCTCACTGCAGCTACAATTGAGAGTAAAAGCCACTTCATGGATAATCAGAGTGTTTTGTTTTTTTATTAAACTGTGGCACTCCCCCTCAGTCCTCATTTATGTCCATGCCTTTGGCCTTATTTGACAATACAAACTAAACTCCTGTCTTTTCTTTGATCCAGCCACGGAATTTGGTAACTGTTGTATAGATGCCTGGTTTGTTTCTGCGAGCACAGCCATCACCCCAACTGACCACTCCAGCCAGGAACATACGATTGCCGGAAGGACTGGACAAAGGACCCCCAGAGTCTCCCTAAAGCAGAAAAATGTACAGGAACACAGGTAGACATGTTAGCATAGAGGCAATACATGGGGATGGTGTGGGGATATTATGAATATCCAATTATCCTCTTGACTTCTGCAACGGGCCAAAAATGAAAATCAAAACAAACACATTAGTTCTACTTTCTAAGGTGAAATTCCTCTGCTTACCCCATTGTATGAGTGCATGTCACATTCTATTCATATACTATTCATCAATATATCCAAGACGACCTAAAACTGTACATGTTCTCTCATGACATTTACAGATTTAGTTCAATCAATTAATCCCTCCATCTACATCATGCCACTGTCTGCAGCACAAGCAGGGTTTTTTGTGTTTTCCCCCAAAAAAACAAGAAAGAAGAAAAAAAGAATATCAAAGTACCTGACAAGCATCAACTCCTCCACTTAGAATACCAGCACAAAACATCCGAGATGTGATCTGGCCCCCCATCAAATCGTCACACACAGCTTGGTTTATGATTCTGACTGAAGCCTTTTGGAGCACCACTGCAGCAGATCCTGAAACAAACACACACAAAGAGGAAGTCACATCACTGGGCATCTTTAAAAAGTTGAAAATGCTTGTATTACAAGTGGCGTTTATATAAAGACATATACAGTGGAGCAAAAAAGTATTTAGTCAGCCACCGATTGTGCAAGTTCCCCCACTTAAAATGATGACAGAGGTCAGTAATTTGCACCAGAGGTACACTTCAACTGTG